GACCATTTTGAACTGTCAAACTTCTGTACTGAATTCAGCAAAAATAGCCTCAAGTTTTGTAAAGATTAAAAACAGTGAATACTTTAAATCATTTCTGGGATTACCAAATTAAGAGTATTCATCACTTCACCTAATAGTCCCTGAGATCACAGTTTTGAGAAATATACTCTTCTAGCTGTAAGTGAAACTTTTCAGAGCATTAAGTTAGCATTTTGAAAGTCCAATCTGTGGTGAAACTACAGAAATAAAACTCTCCGGAAGTCCTGACTGTTTCCTATTTCTCAAAACATTTTAATTTAAATTTATAATTTATTGTTCAGTGTGTTAGTCAAGGCTTTTAAAATACAGTCTAAAAAACCTTAGGAGAAAAGGCTGGTTAAATACAATGTTGCTCGATGTTGTTTTTTTTAAATATAATATGCTGGATTTTAAAAAAAACGAATACAAAAATTACCTTGACAACTGGATTACTGCTTTAAGATAAGTAACTGTCCAAATCTGACCTCTTAGAAATGTGACATATTAGTTGCTTCAACTCAATTTTTATGTATTTTATACACTGAGAAAGAGGTTATAATGATACTAAGATGCTGAAAAGCTATCTGCTCCATACACTGCTAATATTCTACTGTGAAAAACTAGATTTGCATTGTCATTTTCGAAGGATTGTGGCTATTCTTACAGCTTGTAAGAAAAAGACAACTGAAAATATCTCCAAGCCTTTCCTGATACATCAAGAGAAAGTCCAGCTGAACTTCCCTGCAGAGAACAACCAGCTCACATATGCTGTTATAATTAAACTAAGCATCATATGCTGACTACAGAAAAGTTCGGACCTGCAGGCTGCTCAGTACCTATGAACTGCTCTGATGGACAGTGTCATGGGGAACAATTTCTGCAAGAACTGGACGAAGCAGATTTCTCCATCATACAACAACATTAAAGAGAATTCATCGCTATTACTATATTAGAACTCTGTGATGATTGTTTATATAATTAGCAGCAGATAGTTTTCAGGTTACCTCATTCCCTAAGAATATTTTATAACTAAACCTGACAAAAATAATTTCTCATCACGCAAATGCTGAAACCTGAAAATCTGCCAGATTAATTTAAAGAATATTATCAACATTATCAACATTTCACAGTGTTTGCCAAGTTGAAAAAAATAAAGCAAATGCTTTAGCAAGTATAAATATTTATACAGATGATCTGTATTTAGGTTTTAAGCTTTCAGCCAAATATGAAACAGAGCGTACCATCTAGTTCTGGACAAAGTTCAAGAAGGCAAATAATTCTTCAGCTTTCAGACCAAATCAAAGTAGTTTTGATTTTTAAACCAATAGGATTTAATCACTTGCATAAAAATAGTTTCAATAGTAGTGATTCCCTTATTCAGGACCTATGTATAATCTGAAAAAACACAAATGATTATCAGCTTCCTTTTCAGTACTTTGATTAAGTTGGCATATAGTAAGAAACATAGAAAGTGATATAATTCGGCATCTATCAACGAACAGAAAACTAGAATATTTTATCTTCTAAAGTTAATCAACTCTCTTCAAGCCAGAGCTACATTTGAACAAAAAAAGGCACCGCTGAAAAAGTTTTCTTACTAAGAGTCAAACGATTTTGCTCCCTTCTTTGGGGAATACGTGGAAAACTAGAACTCCAATTCAAAACTCAAAGCAGGACTACACATCCAGATATCATAACTTGCACTAGTGTTTTCTACATTTAAACATTCATACCAACTGAACAAAGTATTAACGCAAAAATGCATAATTAAATATGTGTGGATGGTAGTTAGGAGTCTTATCTGTTCTAACTACTGACGTCATTTCAAGTCAGACTGCCTGAAGTGATAATTTGGCTTTTTAGCCATGAGGCTGTTTAAGTGGTGCTAGAAACAGTACACTAAACTTGGCACCCAATGTGAAAAAGACTGGAGAAATCGTCTGCAGGTTAGGCTTGTTTCAGGATAAGAAGTATAATCAAAGTTCCTGAACAGATATGGTTTATTACATACAAGCTATGACAAAAGGAATAAAAAATGTTTAAAGGAAAATAACCATTGAAATTAAGAGAGAAAATATAGCCATATAAAACAATAGCATCACGGGATGAACCCATTTCCAAACATGTTACATTCAACTTTTAAAAGTTCCTTGGACCAAAACACACACGCACACATACACGCACACGTGTGTGTGTGTGTGTGTGTGTGTGTGTGTGTGTGTGTGTGTGTGTGTGTGTGCGCGCGCTACCCAAAATTCAAAAATAGTCTGCTCCTCTGATATTATTCCTCACATGAAGGCTTGGTGAGCATCCTACATACAGATGATACAGTCTGAATAACAACAACACACTTTCACAGCAATATAAAAGGTTTTTTTTTTTTAAGTCAGAAATATTTTTAGATTTGTTTTGTTGTACAAGTGCAGCGTGTGCATTCTGACAGATATATCTCCATTGGGTATTGGGCACTGGTAATTTAATGGTCCATTTTAAATAACTACCCATTTTGCATAGGTATCAATTCTACCTATGTACCAAAGACAATCTGACCTCACATCTCAATGTACATAAAACTCAGCTTCTCAAAAGGAAACAATTAAAAATTCCATGACGCTTCTCCCAAAAGCTGCTTTGCACAAACTGTATGACAAAATAAATTTTTTGCACCTATAAAAATCTGGTAGAAACTGGTGAGTCTGAATGAAAATGTTTTTTCTTAATATACTGTCTTTTGCATCAGGCTCTCAAATAATTGAAATACTTATCAACTGGCCCTAGCCTGCCTGCCGAGAAGAGTATATATGTGTATGTGTGTGTGTACACATGTGTGTGCGTGTATGTATTTATATACACGTATGTGTGTGTGTGTATACACACAGAGCATATATATATAGCACGTAAGTATACACATACATACACAAATACATATAAGATGTGTGTAACAAAATAAAATTTGTGGCTTTGGAGGGAAAAAAAATGATTTGCCCATAGATTAACAAGAAGCAAGTAGTAGAAGAAAACTTTTTAGTTTATTTCTGAGCAATCAGTTGCATGAAATAACTGAGCCAATCTAATAGCACAGTGCCATCAGAAAGAAAACTCTAACACCCCCCTCCCCCTTTCTTTGCATCTGCTCTAGAATTGCTCAGTGAACCAATTCAGCTCGTTAACCTAGAATGAAGTTATTCACTCTGCTGGGCCAAATCACTGCCAGCTTAGCAAGCCTTTCAGCACCAGCAAGTTAACAGATGAGTTCAACCCATTCTATAGAAACAACTTCAACTTTCAGAGAATTTTAAGAGTGATCATTCACAAGACAGAAAAATAATAATCTGTCAAGTAACTGTAAAGGATATGGCAGCCAAGTAAAACACTCTGAATACTAAAGAGAACATATCCACCAATTGTCTTTGACTCATTTACAAATATACATCATACTATTCTGATCTTTATTACCTTCTATCCTGTTCGGGTGTTGCTTCCTCTTTCATAATACTGTGTCATCCTCAGAATCCATTCACCCTTTTCCCCTCTTCCAGATCTGCATACTGTTTAACTACCTGCTTATTTCCTAACTTACGCAGCTCCCAATTGCAAATGGCTTTCTAAATAGCACATTATTCTTTTCTTAATTTGCATCATCATCATATGGAGACCAAGAAATTTAATCAGACTTCTAGTAGCTAAAAAGTATTGGTCAAAATAGGACACAAAATGGACTGCATATCTCTGTCTTCTAGACACTCTCAGTAATGAAGCCAACCAACTCTCCAGGAAATGAAAAAACAGAATGCGCTGCTTCATTGCTCTTACTTTCTCCTTTTAATCCATCACTGTCACGTAAGCCTCCAATAAATCTATTCTTTGTCTTCAACCCATTCTGGCAGTCAGAACTCTCATCAGCGTAATGGCAGAAAACAAGTTCTCAATATCAGTAGTTTAACTTACTGCTGCTCAGAAAAACTGCAAACCACGGCAGGAGTTGTAAAGCTATACACAAACATGAGACAGCATCATTTCACCTTTTGTTCATGTCATTGCAAAGAACACCTTAAGAAAAGCCAGAAACAAAGTATTTTTGCCATCTATGCTTTTGTCATCAGATGTCAGTATCACAGCAACAGGAAAAGTAAAAAGATGACAGGTGCAATTTTCCACTGTCCACTTCACACTTCTCCTTTTAATTTTAAGTGCCTGTAGCCATTTAATAGCAAGCACAGGAAGCCACCAAACAGGAGTTGGATTAGTTAATCTGCCCCTCAGCGTAATATTCTGAATTTCCCATTAGCGGTTTTCCTGTGCTTTTCACTTCATAGGCAAAATGGAACACCCTCCCAAGTAATAAACAGGTCAAGACTACATTTAATCTCTTATCCTATGTAAAATGCTCGCACTAACCCAAATAAAAATCACAGGAAGAGACCCTTCCCAGATTTAACATGAAAAGCAACACCTCCCTCTGTTTTAAGGGCAGCTATGTTTCCTCATTCCCAAAATATCAGGTAAGCCTGGCCCAGGAAGAATTTTACGCTTGCTGTACAATTTCAAGAATCAATTGCCAAAAATCAGGAAAAAAGTCTCACTTGTGAAATATGGTTGATTGAAGATTCCATGCGTCGAAGCTGGGATGCCTGGATATCCAGCATTTGGAGAACATTGTTGGCCAAAGTGTTGATCAGATAGGCTACGCTTGCTAATGACTGGGTTGTGTAGGCTTTGGTTTCTTCTAGGGCTCGCTGCTTATCCGCTGACTAAAAACAGAAATAAAGGTTTATTTAGTAAAGTCTCTCAGCCAAAAATTTTCCAAATGAACTCCTTTTGCCTCTCCTTAAAGGATGAGCATTTCTAGATGTCAAACTAATTCTACATTAAAATTATCATTTTTCTTCCTTTACAGTTCTTCATGACACGAAAGATATTAACTTTGTATATTAACAAATTCTACATTTTATAAAAGGAATTAAGCTACTATACATGCTGATCATTTCCAGAAATACTTAAAGTGCAACATCTTATATTGCATTTTAGCCATAAACTTCAAAAGCACTCTGAAATACTTAACACACTTTATGTGATTTGTTTATCCAATGAGATACAAAATGCTCTTGTTACAGAATTAAGGCTTCTTTCTAAACTTTGTACTTCAATTAGACCTCGTAAGTGCTTGCAACGATCTGCCAAATACCATATTCTTCAACTCTCCCAATTATTTAAACCTCATTATTGCCACGAATGGCCATTAAAAAATGGAAGTGCTTTGTCATAATGAATGAACTACAATTACTCCCCTAAGAATTAAAATGTGAGAGGCATCATTTTTAAAAAGAACAAGTACACACTCCATTTTCAAACATGCTTTGTGCTTTCCTACCTTGTCAATATTGTCTTCTATGAAGAATTACTATGATTCAATTTTCTAGTAGCAGGGGACTTAAAAATATTCAGGCTATCAAGGCTAGTAGCAGTTAACGTACATTTTAAGCAACATTAGAATTAATAAGCTAAGAGTTTAGACTTCAGGGTTGTTTCTCACAGGGTAATAGTTAACATCAGTAAAACCTAATTTAGTAGAAAGAACACAGCTTAAAGCACTAGTAAAACATACGACTGAGATGATACTTGGTTTCCAGTTTTTTAGGCTCTGGAACACACTGAATTTCGCTTAGGTGATGTTTAGCCTCCTCACAGTCTGACTGCACTGTTTCTCAAGCAACAGCTGACAAGTGGTCTCTACTCCCACCTGCCGTTATCATACTACAGTTCGTAATTTCCTTTTCTCTATACGTGATTCAGGCAGGCTGGATGTCAAGACACAAGAAATATGCTCTTTTATTAGAGAGGGAAAATTAAGTAACTCTACATCTTTCAGTTGAGTCTATGATCCATTTGGCCATACGTATTTTAGGGAAATGCTGAAAGGAAATATATCCTTACTTCAGGAAAATCATTCTTACAGCTCGAGACACTTCCTGAGGCCCCACACTAAGAACTTTAAGAGCAAAATTGGTAACTTTCAAGAAAAATACCCATGTCACTACAGACAGAAGAGGGCTTGAGTTAAGTCCCCATAGCAAAGATACTCAATATTTTTTCTTTCCTGGCAGCCTTCTGTGTGTCTACTCACAATGATGGTTTCCTGGTTGACCTGCTAGCTTCCCTTCTTCTCACAGGCCAGACTGGTATCCCTTTCTATTCTGAAGGAATAATGCTATCCCCAGACCCTGTTTAGGAACTCATGACTTCTGTCCAGCTGGGTAGCATGTGTTTTATATAAAAGAGCTCAAACTTAGTATAAGGACTCCCATATGAAGGAATACAGAGCTCTCTGCCTCCACTTTCGCACTGTTGGCTTCTAAATGCAGTGAAAACTCTTCCCCTATCCCTGCTCATATAACTTCAGCTCAGTGTGCAAACATCACTACAGCAGGCATACACAAAGGACACTTTCACAGCTATTCAGTTTCTGAATAGCAATAATAAAAATGACCAGAAGCGCGTCAGTTTTGCTCTGCAGCTGCTGACCAAGCCTATTTATAGAAGCAGAAACTGCTGATTTACATTAACACAGTGTACATCCAGAATAGCTGAATAGAAGCCAGGAAACACAATTTTGTCATTAATAGCCAAAGTGTTTGAGAACAAAAGGAAGACACTCTATCATTTTAGAAATTATGAGCCTCTGCTATGTACGACCTTACTGCCTAAAGAAGCACAAATGTGAATCTACATTCAGAGCTAGTCTTTCCGCTGATGGAACCTAATAGCTAAATTGAAGTCTCACTTAGTTACGCCAATTCAAATTAACAAGCAACTAACCTGTCAGTGTTCAAACACAAAAAAAACTTTCACAAAACAACAATCCCATAAACACATCTGGAACTAGTATTAGCACAAAAACCCTTTTGACTAAATGCTCCAGTTTGTGCATTTTGCTGATGACCTGAACAAGTGCGTTTTGCTCTGCATGGCTTTATACAAAACCTGAAACTCTCTGAAGCAAACTCAACTCATGCTCAGCACAGCAAAATGAATGTTCGAGTTGTCTCCTTGTACACTGTAAGATGCAAAATGTGTTGAATTTTCAAATTAAAATCAGCATTTATACCTATTGTCAAGCCACCTCACAAGAAAATGTTTTTATTTAATGGCAGCATTTGAAAATAATCAAGTTTACCCTAAAAATTTTCAAGAGAGTCGAAAACTTGGGTCTCCCAGAACTAACAGGAAAAACAGTCTGGAATACTTACAGCATGTCAGAAGTTCCCCTGTGGGGTTATAATAAGGCACGCCAATTCACATTTAGCTTGGAACGATAAGCAGTGCTTAATATTAAATATCTAACTTTTTACTTTTAAAAGCAGATTTCCACAGAGGGTATTTTACCATACACTCCTATGTAACCAGTTCCCCACTCACCCTCCTGAAGGATGCCAAATTATATTGCTAGCAACTGCTGCCATGCTCAAAGAGATCAAATGATTTAGAGAATTAGATGGTACATTGATTACTACACCTGGGTATTCTGTGCAACTAAGCAGTATCTTTAGTATCTGCAAAAAAACTCATAATTTCAAGCTCTCAGAAAGTCAAATTTAACTATAACCCTCCTCAGAGTAATTTGATACTCTGTGATTTTAATTCATGACGTTATCGATAAAGGATTTAGATAAAGTCTGTCAACCTTCAGAACACCAAAATGCTTCATACCTGACCCTAAGGCAAGCAAAAATTATTTCAATATCCACACCTACAAAAATTCTCTAGTTAAAAGATGACTATCTAGTTAAATGCTGACTGGGCCCCAACCAAACTGATAACGTCCCTACAGCAGTTTCAGTGCTCTATGGACTACTGTTTCTGTATAGAGTATTAAAGACAAAAGAAACAATATTCTGCTGAGTCCTTTACAATAAAACAAAGACTCCTCACTATGAACGCTTAAGGATATCAGCCAGAGACCCTGAAGCCCTTCAGTTCTCAGATGTGTTGCAGTCAGCATGATCACAACTACGTTTTCAGTGCCCTGACCTAAATTAACCTTCCAGGAAACAAACCACTGAATATCTCACCATCTAAAGTTTTAAAATATTTTTAGTTTAGCACTCATGCACATAAATTTCTGCATGCCAATACAAAAAATGGACATCATAACACAAATACACACTACTCTTCAAGTAGTAATATTTACAGAAGAATATATTTACAAGAAGTAAAATTTGATCTATATTTTTTCTTGGCTATGAAATTCAAGATATCAGAAGTGTTCTGACAAAAATTTCTTCTGCGACACTGCCAACCTAGGCAGCCTCTAATTCCTAGTCCTATGCCATCCGTTCAGCTGTGACAGTACTGTATTCGTAGGACCACATGGGTGGAGTGGGTAATTAATCCAGTTCACACCCTAAGAAACAAATATTTATTGTAAGGGCTGATCAAGTCCACGATCTGGTCTCCACCACGCTAACCTGCAAACAGTTGCTTTAGCAAAACTGACGAGGTGACACCGAGCAAAAGCAAATCAGGTTTGCTGAATTACGGTTTGAACAACTAATTGTGATATTATAAAGACTCAGGTTCTAGTTTCTTTAGCAGTACCCGTGAAAAGTGGAGGTCTCCAACACAGACTGCATACATCCTTTGCATCCCCACTGTTGCAGTGAATTAGACCAGGAGACCAATCCCAAATGAAAATTCAACTTACCCAGAAACCAAATTATGAGTTTTCCCTGATCCGTCCTGCTGCATAGCCCCAGAAACATAAGGCAGCACATCGTTAAGAATGAGGAGGGAAGAACTATCTGCTTTTTTCACTTGAAACGACTATGGCCCCACATCCTACACATAGGGGGTTATCTCTTCTTGTACTGAAGTGGCTGGCATGTTTAAAAAGGCTAGTTAGCACTAACTTCGTACTATCTCATCGTTGAAGACATACTTCAAATAAGTTCAGAGCTTAAGGGCATCTGAGTTGAACAAGAATCTGTGCATTTATGATGCAAAATATTTGACTTTTAATTTAGTTTGTAACACAGTTCAAGTGTCTAGAGTCAATCTTTCATCTCAGACTAATCATTACTGGGAGAAAGTTTCAATCACCGATTTCAATTAACAGTACTACGAATATTTTGCTTAGTGTTATTCATATAAATTTGAGCTACACAGGAGCCACAGTCTACAAGCTCTAGAAAACAGTGATTTCCTTCTGGATTATTGAGGCTCCAAAACATGTTTTGGAGGGGTATCCTAACACAGACCTCTTCGTGTCAAGATGGCCAGCACTATGCAGAACAGTTTTCCATTAGACCTCCAGATCTGATCTCCTTGCTAGAGGAAAGAAATATGTTCTGGAAAGTAGACACCACTGCAGTCTTGCCAGCCCTCCACTACCCCTCATTTTTTTTTCCACAACATCTGTGTCCATCATCTTATTTGCTTCCCTTAAGATTTTTCCATTAACTGTGTTAACAGTGCTTATCCATCTCTCTTCAGCTTCCAGCTTGCACACATCAAATAGTGTTAAGAAGATACCTGAGCATCACAGCTGGGTCATCTTCACGGTCTTAAGGAGATAAAAACATTTGAATCATTGATGTCTCCTGTGCCTACATTAGCCAATTGACAGGCAGCAGCTTAGCATCCATGCTGTTTATCATTTTTTTTCCACACAACGCACACACCAGGTGGTCCACGCTGAGCCACAAAGGCAGCATCCTTCTCTCCTGCTCTCAGCAGTAAGTGAGAGCACCATTTT